GGGCTGTACTGGGCTGTGCACAAATCACCCTCTGTCCCTGGGTATCCCTGACCCTCAGGGTCCTCCAGACTGGCATAGCAAACATGAGACGTGTCCACACTGGAAGAAACGGAGCATTGAGAAGGGCAGGAGGCAGCAAGAAGTGGTCACAGGCTCAAGGGACCCGCAGTGACCGAGGAGAGACCCTGGAAGATGAGCACTGTGGGACGCGGGGGTGTGAGAGTGAGCGTGACAGGGAGAGCGTGAGGGTGAGTGTGAGCGTGATGGGGTGAGTGCGTGTGAGTGGGGCCTTGGGTGTGAGAGTGAGGCCGTGAGTGTGTCCACGTCTGGCCTCTTTCCCATATCTCGTGAGCATCCCAGCCCTCAGCCTGTCCCTCTCAGACTTGGGGCGCCACAAGGTCCCCCTTGTACCTCGAAGATGCCTTTCATCTTAAAAAAAAAGTCAGCCCATTGCGTCCTCTCCCCTCCTTCCAACACGCTCATTCCTGAGTGACCCTCGGTCTCCTGGCGGGGCTGGGGCCCCTCAGCCGGGGACTGTGTGGGGCCGGGGCGGGGCGGGGGCCTCGCCGGAGCCCCCCCCCCCCCCCCCGCCCTGGGAAACTCTGCCTTGTGTGCGGTTCTCAAGCGCCTTCACATTCCGTCTGGGTCCTCTTGGCCCCTCCAAATTCCTGCCCGTGGTTTGATCTCTTGCAAATGCCTTCCTGCTGCAAAGCAAACGCACCCCCTCCCTCTCTCCTCCCTCTCTGTGCAAAAGCGGGGTGGGGGGGGTTGGGGCCTCCCGCCTCTCGGCGAGGCCTTTGGACAAACTAGATCCATCTCCGGCGCCTTCAAAGGTGCCCCGAGCCACGCAGACCTCCGCTATTAACTCTTTGAAAGAGGCTTGTCGGTGAGAGAAGGAGTCTGGGTTCATTGATAAAAAAGGGATTGTTCTGTGGCTGCCGGCGGAGCCGGTGAATGACAGAAGGTGGATTTGCAGAGAGCGTCGCCTTTAAAGATGAAATGATCGGAAAAGAACGGGGGTGCACATGGCCGGCCGGCACAGGCTCAAGGGCACTCCGGGGCTCAGGAAGCTGATCTTCCTCCACCCCAAAGAGGGAAGCAGGCTCTCCCCTCCCTCCCTCACCCCTGCCCCTGTGGAGCCTGGATTCTGATGTCAGCCCCTGCCCCTCCCTGGTCCAGCCTCCTCCCTCAGACCAGCCTGATGGCACTGGTGCAGACGTGCACCTAATGTGCTCAGCGCCCCACCCCGGTGTGGGCTCGTGATCACCAACAGACGCCTGCGATCACCAGCAAAAACCCGTGGCCCCCACCCATGGCCCCCACCCCCCCAAGTGGGCTCCGTGCGTCTCCTCCCGCGGGGCCTCCGGCGAGGTGAGAGGCTCCGAGGTGATTAAGAATTCTCCCAGGGCAGGCGGCGGCCTTGGGCCTCCTTTGTGTGCTTAATCCCGTGTTGTATTGGCTCCTCGGACGTGGCTAATTTATTTGGAATTTCATTCTGTTCCTGACAGCGCCTGGACGGCTGTTTGATCCCCCTGAGCTGACTCACATACCAGCCGGCAGCCGTGGCCCCATCTTCCCCAAGTGCTCTCGAGGGTGCGCCTGGCCCAGGAGCCGGGCGGGGGTGCCATCGCCCCCCCCCCAGAGACCCTGCCCACCCCCCACCTGTGGCGTCTGTAGCGCTGCCTGCTGGGGGGGGGGGTGCCGAGAGCCTGGTGGGGGCCACCGCCCATTGGCTTCCGGCCGCCCCTTCCCTCCACTTCGGCAGTGGCGGGAAAGGGGTGGGGTCCCCCTAACCCGCACCCCCCGTGCCGTGTCTGCTCTCCCTTTCACCCCCAGCCGGCCTTGCTTGTGCCAAAATAGGAAACGCACAAACGTGGTTCCAATCGGACGCGAGCCTTCCCACCCCTCGCTCCGGTCCCACTGAGGCACGGGGCCGAGGCAAACGGGCGTCGTGAGCCCACCACGATCCCCCTGCCCCTGCTGTCTGAGTCTCAGCACCTGCCCTCGGACCCCCTTACCGGCCCGGGGACCTCGCGAGATTTGAAAAAGACTCAAGTCAGAAGCCCAAGGCACATCACGCTGGGATTAACGCACAAATTCACCCCTCCCACCAAATCAGGGTGGCCTGGGGGGGGGGGGGTGGGAGGACTCAAGCTCCCACCCGCCGGGGGGTCTGAGTTCAGACAGAAGCCCCCCTCCCCCGATTCTGTGATGTCCCGGCAGTGTTGGGCCCATAGACCTTGCTTGGAGGACACTGAGGCCCCAGCACTGACGGAGCCCCGAGATGCAGACAGGAAGAAGCTCACCTGGGCTGGGCTGCCTCTGGCCTCCGGCAGCAGCAAATTGGCTCGGTGGGGCCCTCGGACTCCGGCCCAGCCCTGCACACACCTGACCTCCCCGTGCCCGCCACCCCCACCCCAGAGTGAGCGGGGCTTCCAGTTGGTGCTGGGGTGGGGGTGCCGGGCGCCTCACGGCTCCTTCCGGGACTTGCTGCCACAGCGGCCCCGACCCCGTCACTGTGTGTCCGGGACAGGACAGGGCAGGGGACACGGAGCAGGACGGGGACTGCGGGCAGGGCCCCAAGTCCACGGTGACCTTGAAGGCCTGCCTGCCTCGGACTCACCCTGAGCCGCAGCGGCCAGTGGGCGTCTGTCTGGCTCAGGGGGCCCCTGTGAGCCGTGACCCCCCCCCCGCCCCCTGTGTGCAGGGCCGGGTCAGGAGCTGGACAGGGACATGGCGGGACACAGAGACGGGAGGAGCCTCCAGACTCCTCACTCTCTCGCCCCCAGTCCCCCCAGACGTGGAGTGACGTGAGGGTGCCCGTCCCCGGGGGTGGGGGACACTGTGGGGACTCGGAAGCCTTTGCTGGGGTCATCGGCCGGGAGGGGCCAAGGACAGGCTGACCGCGTCCTCTCAGAGTCGGGGGTGCCAGGCCGTCTGACGGGGCGGGGAGGCGCGTGACCAGCCGCTGTTGACTCTGGAGCCCGCAGTGTGCTCGGCAAACAGGCTGAGCCACGGCCGCCGCGTCCCCACCGGCTGGGGTGCGAGGCTGAGGACGGGCTCTGCCCGGTGCCCCTGCTGTCTGGAGACCACCCAGGTAAGGGGCGTTTTGCTCAGGGGTCTCCGCTCCCCGTGCTCCCTTCAGGGTGGGGCTCCCGGGCATGTGGGGCCCACAAGGGCCTTCTGGAGGCTGGTGTGTTTGGGGGTGCGCCTTAGTGCCCCGGGTCAGGTCCTGGGGTGGCGCAGGGCCCTCGGGCTGGAGGCACAGAGGTGCCACCTGCCCTGCAGATGGGCATGTGCCCGGCCCAGGAGTCCTGAGTCCCTCCCCAAGATTCCCGCCACCTCCAGGCGCCGCTGTGCTCGGCCCCTGGGATCCGGGTGGGGACTCAGGGTCTGACAGCCCTTCCCCAGGAAGCCCTGTCTGCCCTGCGGGTGTCACACGTGTGACCACAATACACGCATGTGTGCACATGTGTGGGAGCGTGACACACGTGTGTGTGTGCACGTGGGCGAGGCATATGAACCCACGCATTGTGAGCGTGACACGTATGAGTTCATGTGAGAGGTGCATGGATGTGACATGTGCACGAGCATGTGTCCATGGGCCTGAGCACACGTGTGGCCTAGGAGTGTGCGTGCGCATGTTGTATGCACATGGGCGAGGGGCATGAGATGTGCACGTGTGCCTGTGTGGACTGCATATGTGTGGGGCTCCAGGTATGCAATGCCTGCACGGTGCACGTGTGACACATGTGATCATGAACCTGTGATATGTGGGCATGTATGTGTGTGTGAGCGTGTGTGTGTGTGTGTGTGTGTGAGTAGAATGTGCATGTGTGAGTGTGCATGTGACTGCATGTGCAGGTGTGGGAGGCAGACCAATGTTCTTTTTTTTTTTTTCTTTTTGGGTCACACCCTGCGATGCTCAGGGGTTACTCCTGGCTCTGCACTCAGGAATTACCCCTGGCGGTGCTCAGGGGACCATATGGGATGCTGGGAATCGAACCCGGGTCGGCAACGTACAAGGCAAACGCCCTCCCCGCTGTGCTATCACTCCAGGCCCAGATGCTCTTTCTTTTTTTTGGGTCACGCTCAGGGCTTACTCTGGCTCTGGGCTCAGGACTCACTCCTTGCAGGCTTGGGGGTCCCTATGGGGTGCGGGGGATGGAACCCGGGGTCATGGCGAGCCAGGCGAGTGCCCTCCCCGCTGTGCTGTCCCTCCGGCCCGTGACCCGGGTGTGGAGACAGTGTGGAAGCATCACTCGGGGACCTCACCTCGGGGGATGAAGTGACCAGCCCCCACCCCGGAGATGCTGCCCACAGAAACACACGCGTGCCCAGGCCAGAGGGATGGCACGGATGTGGGACCCGAGTCCCATCCAGCCGGGGGCTCTGGGTGGGCCTGAGGCTGGGCAGGCCCCGAGCTCCGGCCCCTCCGGGTGGTGGTGGCCCCTCCTTGCCGGCCGGGCCTCTCGAACCGCGGCGGGTGAGCGGCCCTGTGCTAATTGCGCCTTGTTTGGGGTCGCGGGCGCTGACTGTTCTCCCCTTCCCCTTCCGTGTCCGCAGCCCCCTCCTGCCCGCTGGACGGTGCCGGCCCCCGACGTGCTGGCTAATTGGAGGAGAAAGCGCCCGATTGTCCGAGGGGCCCGAGGAGCGGGCGTGGGCGCGGGCAGCGCCGGGAAGGTGGCACCCTCGCCGGGCAGCTGCCACCGGACGGACGCAGACGCGGGATTACGTCAGCTGGGGCAGGGCGGGCCGGGCCCTTGCTCGGACAATGCGGCTATTGTGGGCCCAGAGAGGGCTGTAGGCGGGCGGAGGGGTGTGCGGGGGGGCTGCGGGGGACCGTGGGCCGCTGTCCCCTGTCTGTCCCCTCGTGTTGGGAGGCCCCGCGCGGGCCCAGGGAGAGCCTGGGAACCCGCGGGAGAACCAGCCCGTCCTCGAAAGGGGCGCAGGGGCGCGGGGGCCCCGCCTGGAAGCCGGACTCAGGCGTGCCCGGCTCTGCGGCCTTGGCATGAGCTCCTGGTTTGGGGGGCCCGCGGGCCCTGACCCCCTCATGGTGCTGCTGGTGGTCATCCTGCTCGCCCGCTTCCTGCTGTGGTTCTGTCTCGGCACCTTCATCGACTACAGACTGGCCCAGAGGTTCCCGCACAAGCCCAAGGAGGACTAGAGGCCCCCGCCCCCCTCTGGTCCGAGGGTCCCCCTCGAAGGGCCGGGGCTGAGCCGACACCAGTGGCCCGCACCATCCTGCTGGAAGCTTCCTTTGCTCCTGATTCTCTGTGATGGGGTTTGCGGGCGTCTGGGGGTGAGCTGAGGGGCCGCTGGGGCTGAGACCCCAGAGCCCAGTCGCAGCCGCCCCCACCCCCCACCCCCAGGCCACAGTGACCACCGGCTCACTGGCCTCCGCAGGGCCAGACATAAGAGACCCTGAGTCACAGCCCTGGTCGCTCAGCCATGAGCAAACTGACCTGCTCAGCTGGACCCAGTGCCGGGGGCCCCCACGGGAGGGGCAGGGGAGAGGCGGGGTGTGCAAACCCCACCCGCAGGAGCCGCCTGGAGTCTTTGGGGTGAAGCCAGGGGCCCCTGTGTGCTGTCATATCGGAGGGCTGATGGGAAGGGAAACTGAGTCCACCGAAGGTCCCAGGACTCACTGCTGCCCCCCACGACCGCGGGCGGCCATGGTTCTCGGGCCCCAGGGCCTCGCTGCACCCCAGGACTGGGAAAGGTCGCCAGGTTTCAACTTTTGGGGTCCTGTGCGTGGGGAAAGGAGCCCCCATTACCCTGTTCTGAAGCTGAGGGTCCGCGGCCCAAGAGTCCTTGATGCTGAGCAGTGGGGGTGTCACACCTTCGCCGGAAGTGGGGAGCAGACAGCCCTCCGCCAAGCCCACCAGAGGACGGAGCCCCGCTGGAGCGGGCAGGAGACGAGTCTGCGGAGACCCCTCCCCACTGTGCTCGACACATCCCGTTTCCTCCCCGAATCAACGCACAGCAGTTTTTATTGCTCACAGCTGACAAAATCCAGTTTGAGGCCATGCCCTGGCGCCCTGGCCTCACTTGCCCTCACAGCTTGCTGAGAACAGGCCTTGGGCACTGAGCACTGGGCACTGAGGCTGACCAGCCCGGGTCGGCCACAGTCACATTGGGCTGAGAGCAGCGTTTGTGTAAATAGCCGGTGACTTGGACGAGCTTCCTCCGCCCCTTTTAATTTTGTCTTGCAACCACACTGGCACTGCCAGGTGATGGTATCTCAGCTCCTTGATATCAGCACACTCCCCACACCTCTGGGCGGTGCCAGCAGCAGGCTGCACTGGTCCTCATGGTGACAATGAGGGTGCTGTTGGGCCGGGCATCTCAGTAAGTCCCAGGTGGGAAGAGAAAGGAGGGAGGGAGAGGGAGAGAGAGAGAGAAAGAGAGAGAGAGAGAGAGAGAGAGAGAGAGAGAGAGAGAGAGAACTATGGAGAGACCCTTAGTTCTACATGTCACTGTCACACTGTCCTCCCGTTGTTCATCGATTTTCTCTAGCGGGCCCAGTAACGTCTCCATTTTGAGACTTGTTGTTACTGTGTTTGGCATATGAATACATCACGGGTAGCTTGCCAGGCTTTGCTGTGTGGGCGAGATGCTCTTGGTAGCATGCCGGGCTCTCCTAGAGGGGCAGAGGAATCGAACCCGGCTCGGCCAGGTTGGCTGCACAGAAGGCAAACGCCCTACCGCTGTGCTATCGCTCCAGCCCTGGAGCAGAATTAACTCACATTTATCTCCAGATGCAGACGAGGCTGGATTTGCAGCTATTTTCACACTGACCTCAAGGCCACCCACAGGAGCAGACCCTGGACAGGCAGCTTAGGCGCCTATAACTGTGGCCATTACCCGGGTGGTGCTGCTTGGGGCGGTGTGTGGCTGACTTGGGGACTCCTCTCAGTTCTGGCCCGACCCTTGCCCATACCCTCTGCCCAGGATTGGAGGCTGGCAGCGGTCCTAGGTTGCTCGGCCGGGAGTCAGCTCAGGCAGTACCCCTGGGTTCTTGGGCCGCCTATAAACTTGTTCCAAGACGAGGTGAACGCAGAGGAGGAGCCATGGATGGGGAGAACGGCACAGACGGAGGCGGGCACAGGCACAACCCCCCCCCCCAGCAGCCCGGGAAGCCCCCGCCAACTGCTGCTGGCACAGGGCTGGTGGCGGGCACTGGCAGCCTGGGGGAGCAGAGACACCAGAGATGGGAACTGTGTGGCCCCGCACACAGGACTCCATGTAACCGTTCCTGGTGCGAGACCACGCCTGAGTTTGAGTTTGAAGACGCGGCCCAGAAAGACAACGCACGGTTCCGTGAGGCGTTTCCGTGCCAGGGGGCACTGGGACAGCACCCATGACGCAGACGAGAATGATGGCTTGCCACATGTCTCAGCATCCTTGGTACGCCTCGCACTTAACATGCAGCTCACGTGTCTGGGTGTGGGACAGGGCGGGCCCAGGTCTTCCCAGCTGCGTGAGAGCGCCTGGGTGGGTTCCACGGGACGTGGGAGTTTCCACAGGACTGTGCCATGTGATCGGGGCCTCGGAGACGCGGCCGAAGCGACTCTGGGGGAAACTCCTCGCCCACGTGGGAGCTTATACTGGTGATGATACTTGTGACGTTTCGTTCGTAAGTTTGCAGGAGGGAAGTTACTAATCACACACCGATCCCTTAGACTGGGTCAGGGCAGGAGGGATGGGGGCGGGAGCAGGGGGAGGTGGCAGGGAAGCGGCCCGTTATCAGCGCCAGGCCACCAGGAAAGACGTTCTGGCCCACGATCTTCTCAGCATGCTCTTCCGTTGCATTATTTTTTTCCATTTTGTGTCATTTTGTGTTTCTTGGACTACACGGGCAAAGCCTGGCAAGCTCCCCGTGACATATTCGATACGCCAAACACAGTGACAAGTGTCACAATGGAGACGTTACTGGGCCCCCTCGAGCAGATCGATGAACCATGGGAGGACAGTGACAGTGACAGGACTACATGAGCTATTAAATCTTCCACTTTAACAATTTTCAAGTGTGCAATTTAGTAATATCGTTGAGAGGGGAAATATCCCAATAATAAAAGGGTCCCCGTTAGCCAACTCAATCAAAAAAGAAAAAAAATACATAGAAGTTTAAAATGATAATAAAAGTAACTACAGCGATGTCAAGAAACCAAATTCTCAAGAGATGGGCTTGGTGTGTGCCAAAGACTTGAAAGGGTTGAAAAATCTCAAGTATTTTTAAAAAGACTCTCGGGGCGAAGTGATGGTCCAGCAGGCAGGGAGCTGGCCTGGCACATACCTGACCCAATTCTGGTCCTCGGCACCCTGGAGCCCCACCACCAGTGACCCTGAGCACAGAGCCAGGAGTCAGCCCTGAGCACTGCCGGGTGTGACCCCAGCTGAAAGAAAGCAATTCCAGAAGGCAAGCATGGCTGCTGGTGACTAGAACGTGTCTCTGTGGGACGGGGGTCATGGGGCCTGTCTGTGGGATGGGGGTCACAGGGCCTGTTTGGGGGACCAGGACACAGTGCTGGATCCACTCTGGGGGACTGTGAGTCAGGAGGAGGTTCTGTGAGAGGTGTTTGCTGAGTCTCTGACCCTGACTTGGGGACCTGGGGGGATGACACAGTCTGGGACCAGGGACTTTGGGTGTCCCAAGCCTGGTCTTTGCCCCCAGGCCCAGAGCCCTCTCCCCGGCCTCAGGCCTCCTCCTGCTCTGCCCCCCCTCCTTCCTGGACCTGGCCTGTGGCCACCCGGTCCTGCATCAGCCCTGGACCTTTTTTTCCTGCATCTGTTCACATCAAACCCGTGTCAGGGCCTCGGGAGCCAGTGCGGCTGTGGGTGGTCACCGTGTGCCGTGACTGAGAGCATTAGGGGGCCCTCCCCGAGGGAGACACCTGGGGCCTGGGCTGGCATCCCTGCCACTGTGCATTCTTCTCTATGTGCTTCCCGCCCGGCTTGTGTGGGCTGCAGGGGTGCGGCCTGGGAGCCTGGGGTGGGCCGGGCTCCCCCTGCAAGCATCTGCGTGTCCCTCACGGGCTGTGGGGCTCCAGCTCGTCAAGGTCCAGCCACGTCAGCCAGGATTTTACAGCCGCTGGGTGCTGGAGTCCACGGTGAACTCACACCCTGAAGGAAGTCCTGGCTTGATCTCGCCCACCATACCCAGCCCCCTCCCCAGACCCCGCAGTCACCTTTGTTCTTGGCCAGGGCAGCCGCCCTGGCCCCTTTTAACAGCAAACTGGGGTGGCGGAGACATCAAATATCTGGACGCAGCATTTGAGGGTGCCCGTGTCCAGGGGCCTAACTGAACGAGCCGCAGCTCCTAACGTTCCCCAGACCCGCCTTTGTCCCCAGGCTTGCCCTGCGCCTCTGTGCCCAGGACGGTAAGGAACCAGGGGCCCCGTCCTGCCACGCTGCTGGTGTCGCTGCTGTGGCCAGAGGACCCATGGGTGCCTGGGAGGTCCCAACCACGGGCTGGCGCTGGATGTCTGCTGGTCCTGTGCTCCCTGGTGCTCCCTGAGTCATTGTGGTGAAGGGTGGCCTGGCCGGGCTGGGCTCTGCCCAGAGCATGCGACGGCGACGCGCAGGAACTTCGCTGGACAGTCCAGGGCTGGACTGAGGGGCTTCTGAGGGCACGCGGGCCCCGCCCCACCGCAGGCCACGCCCACGACAGGCCCCGCCTCCACAGCAAAGCCCCGCCCCCACGGCAGGATTCCTGGCCCCGCACAGCACAGGAGCCAGCAGTGGGCTGGGTCCGAGGGCGGGGACTGGGTGTAGCTCGTGTGTGCTGACACATAAACACCATCCACACGTGCATGACGCCGTTCTGCACGCATGTACAAGCTGTGTGCATGTGTGTTCGCATGCGTGTATGCGTGTCCATGTGTCGACGCATAAAGCTCTGGTGTAAGTGCCGTGTGTATGTGTGTATCTGGTGTGGGTATAGAGACACACACACGGGCCATGTGTGCATATGTGTTTGACATGTGTATGCGTGTACACTTGGTGTGTGTTTGCATATACACGTGTATTTGGGATATACAAACAGGTGTGAATTTGGTGAGCATAGATGTATGTATTTGCTTTGTGCCCAGGGGTGTGTGTATTTAGGGTGTGTGGTGTGTGAGTATTGGGGTAATATGTGTGTGTTTGGCGTATGTTTGTCGG